TCGGTATTTCATTTTTTTTATTATTAAAAAAACTAATCTGATGACACTTGTAATTAATCCTAGCTCGCTTAGTTGCCAACTTTTAGATCTACAGTTTTGTTATGAAGACACGACTTATGGAGTCATCCATATTTATTCACAAATAGTGTATTGACACGTGTCCTACAATAAATACACTTTAGACACGTGTCATTACATTAAGTGATGGATGGCTCCATAAGAAAACCATCCGATGACTCTATAGAATTTTTGTTTAGACCTATTTGGAATCAAGACGGCGCAAAATATGCAAAATATGAATCGATATGGCCAAGATAGCAAAAATTCAAATTTATAAGACAAAATTAAACTATGTCAAAAACGGAATTTTCATATGGGCCTTTTGAATTTCTACGATACCAGACCTTGATTATTGGCCCACACGCACATAGGGCCGCATAAGTTAATAGCGGAGTTTTTGTAAACGGGCCCTTTGAGTTATGACCGCAAGCATTACATGGCTACCAATGTGTATGAAAATTAATGGAAATTGTGTGAAATGAGTCAAAAGTTTGGCCAAGTGGGACTCCATAAGTTGACCGTAGCTTCTCATGCTCGCCGCATATTTGAAGGGCAAACCACAAACATTTTGTAGAAGAATATTTTATAACTAGAGTCTGAGAAGTCATACATATAGTAAGTCATAAACAAAAATTAATTAATAATAATAATAGTAGTAGTAGTAGTTTTGATATTCTTTAGTTGGATTTGACCCTGGAACATAGAATAATAATAATAATAATAATAATAATAATAATAATAATAATAATAATAATAATAATAATAGTTTTGATATCCTTTAGTTGGATTTGACCCTGGAACATGGAATCATTTCTTTTCAGAGAAAAAAGGAAAAGAGTCCATCTAAAGTAACTTTGAAGAGATAATTTTATTTTATATAATTTTTTACATGGCATCTTTGTCTTGACTTGTATGAAACGTTTCGAAATAGGTCCATCAACAGCAATTTTACATGTAAAGTTTCATCATTTTTGTGGAATTTATGAAACATATGCTTAAGGACAAATGTAATTCAATGAATAGCGTGACAAATAAACTATATACACGTAAATATTAAATTATTCATGCAATTGAATGATGCCGTGCTTCTGAGTCAGAGTTTATTAATCCTCAAGATTTTTGTCATCTTATATATCCCTTTAGCACAATGATCTGTAACTCCTAAAAGAACCCACGCATGCATGTTGTAAAGTACTGATGCCATTTTAATTGCTATCCAACTTACTCTTTTTAAATTTACGGAATCAAACATCTTTTTTCTATATCTATATTCCTAAATTCTCATATTGAATTAGTAAAATTTAATTGAGAAAAGTGGGGAGGATAAATTAAAGTGAATTGCCTGAATTTCAATGAGGACGGTGGAGTAAGCATAGGCAAAGGCAATATTTCCAATGGCTTGGAAGCTTCTCCACACCTTATCCGCTGCGGACACGTCAACCCCTACAGTCGTCCCCGTTAGGCTTGTCCTCCCACGACCACCGCCTTCATTTTTCATTAATTTGAATTTCATAATTAACCAAAAAAATAAAATTACTAGACATCATATAAAGAAAAATAAAATCGACTAAATAACGATACGCATTAAGATGATAGGTGTATATGGAGATTTGGTTGAACGGTGAGTAAAGCAAAACTGTGACTAAATAAAATCGACTAAATTACTAGACATCATATAAAGAAAACCTTGTATTTATAGAATTCTTTATTTTTTTTAATAAAATTAGAATTTTGAACTGGTAGACAATATGAAGCACCATAATCAAGGGTTAATTAAGCAGTAAAAGGGACCTTAGGCGTACTTTTTATGAAAAGATAAATGAAACCAGAATAATACTTATAAAACTCTTGTTTTGGCACCTAGGATAGTTAATACCTACTCAAATTATTTGACAAGTTGAATTAGTTGATTATATAAAATTGTTTGGTAAAACTATTAAATATATAAAAGTAACTATTAAGTCATATTTTGGTAAAATTAATAATATACCTGCAGCCATGGCTATGGAGAGGCCAAGGCCAATGGATGCGTAAGTGAACGACATGACTGCCGCCACTATGGACAGCCATGAGAGCTCGTGAAAATTCGGTATTTGGCTTAAAATTATCTGAATTCCCGCAAATATTCCCATATATGGGTAGTTTGACACGTTGCACGCAGCTTCGTGGTCGTATTTATGGAAACAATTTGACCTTCTGACAGCCCTAGGTTACCAATATCAATTTTATATTAATTACAATTTTTTATTGATGCAAAAATAATAATATTATTTTTATTTATTAACTAAAAAGAGTGTGTTTACTCACACTATACTGATGGAGGCTGTTATTGTGTATCCAATTGTGATGCCCACCAGATTGGCGTACTGAGCTATTCCGCACAACTGAACTTTCACACCACCTGCAAGTATCACAAAAATAAATTAATGAAAAAGGACCTGTTAATTAATTATAGTATATCAGATATCTGATATTTTTAAATTGAGACTAAATTAAACATCAAACTTTATTACCGTATTAATAATGAAAGGCAGGGGCGGAGTCACCCAAAGGCTCGGTGAGCTGGCTCAATCGTATTTTTCAATTATGTTAAAGTTATATTAGTAAAAAATATTTTAGTTTATCCTATATTAGATTAGCTTAATATTAATCTTATTTCGATCCAAATAAATTAAAATTTATTTTAAACTAAATCAATGAATCACATACTTTAACATAATATAAATCTCTTTTAACTTTTCTCTTTAGCTCACTATATCATTTTTCGTCTTGTTCTTATGATTTTTTTTGTGATTTGGTTAAATAGAGTTCATTTTCTTAGTTGTATTCAATACAATATTTGAATGTGCTAAACATCCATTAGAATGTTGAGTATGTAATTCAATTTACGGATTTCACAATGTAGTACATAATTCATCGAATTTGTACATAAATGATAAATATAAAATTTCATTTACTAGTATATGAAATTGACTACTATATCTCCATTATTTGTGTGACATATGAAATGAAATGACATTTGAAATTTAAATGAAATGTTATATAACAAGACTGACAGACTATTACACTTTCAGTAGTTAATAATCCACATGTTTTAGTTAAAGGAAGATCATTTATATAAAAGACGACTGAAAAATATAATAATTGATATTTTTATTTTTTAAATGCAATATTCTATTTTGATATGATTTATTATACGAATCATGTAATTTATATTAAATATATAAAATTATTTTCATAATTTGACTTTTTCATACATGCATGCATCTACCTAGTTATTTGAGTCGAGTACTTCACGTTCGAACTCGTAGTTATTTAATAAACAAGTTGGCATTGCTCAACTCGTTTTATATACAAACAAAAATGTGAGCTCAATTTCAATTCGTATAAACTCGGTTCAACTAATTCAGTAAACCTTAAAACATAGAAAAAAAAAAAACTCTAACTGAGTTGATCACAAATATGTTCGACTCGATTTGTTTGATCGACAAGCCCGATTAACTATTTGAGTTTGACTTGTTTAAAATTAAGCGAGTCGAGATTAAGCTTTCACAAATCGAGCTGAAATATGTTAACGGCCAACTCGGTTTGAATAACAGCGGCATAATATGCAATTCCGAGTGAATTTTTTTGTCAGGCTACGTTTGTTATGAAAGGGATAAAGAAAATAAGACCGAGGTCAAATATTCCGGTAGACTTAAAACATGCCTTTAATCAAAGTTTAGTTTCTTAGTCCATAATCCATATATATATATATATGAGAATTGACTAATTTAATTTAATTGAAATTCAGCATGACCATCAATTTCAATAAAGCACACTTCCACTTTCTTTTTACTTCCGATTCTCTATTTGTTGTTGATATAAACGGAAATGTCGGGTTAATTACGGAAGTTGCCTCAGATTCACCCAAACCCAAACAAACAAAAAAAAAGATCCGTTAACAATTTTTTTATTTTTTTAACTATCCGTTAACACTATGACTCATATATGAGAGGTTGTGAATGACCCAATAAAAAAAGATCCAGACCTGGTATATTGCAGTCAGCAGAGGATTAATTTGTTACAATAGAAAAATGGCCTATTAACTAAAATTAGCGAGGTAATAAATAACTAACTACTTGATTAAAAA